TCAAATTTGAGAATGTTTCCTCACTATTGGTGAGAGAAGGAATAAAGTTTTGACCTTAACAAAATCACAAACGCACGATAAGGAATAAAAAAAATTCCTCAAGTCTTATATCCTCTCAAAGATAAATAACGAACGTTTTCGCACCGATTTGCAAGACTCTACTAGACTCAGCTCATGTACTGGTGAGACCATTGAACCTAGGGATTTGATATCAAATTGTCACGACACAAAATCACAAGTCGTGATGGCACCTATTTTTTCAACCAATAGGTAAGCCAACCCAACAATTTTACTATTTCCATTCATATAAATAAGCGACAATATAATATCCAAATACTACGTCTTTTACAAGTGTGAATGCAGAAAACTGAAATACCATCCTAAGATTGGTGTCATAAGTACAAGAATTTTAAACTAGGATGCAAGTATAGAACTAAATGACAAACCTAGACGTAAGGAATATTCTGTGTGAATACTAATAAAAAAATAACTAAGACATAGAGGGAGGTGTGGGCCATAGAACAACTAAGAAGCTCACCACAATTCAGAGATAACTCAATCTCAACTCTGTAAGCTCCACTGTCACGACCCAGACCATCGTGATTGGCACCCACACTAACCCTCCGGTGGGAAAACCGTTAATACTAATTAGCTAACCATGATCTACACAACTAAATAAAAAACTAAGGCATTTAACGTTACAGAAGCAGGTTTAAATGCTAAAGGAAAAATAGAGTTCCCATAAACTCCAAAGTCTAATCAAACAACTGCGGAAATAATGCCTAGAACCTGAAAGTCAATGTACCAAAACTCTAACAAGGATCATAAGTCTAAGGAAATGGGTACAACCCAATTAAAACATAAGAATATCTAAAGTACTAGTCTAAGTCCGAAGATGTGGACATAAACGAAAAGAGAACTCATAGCAGCCCGAAAGAACTGGCTCACCCTTGAATTCGATTGATCACTGATCTTCTAACCGAGGTTTGTCAATAGCCGCCGGGAGATGCCCTGTACTCAAAAAAGAAATACTAAGTGCAATATCAGTACACAACCACAGTGTACTGGTAGGATCACACGGCTATCCCAAGAGGCAAAACATATATAAGTCATTACAACATAATAAACATGCATACACCAAGCATACACAATATCAATTATCTCTTACGAACAATGTACAATTTCACAATTCTCAAGATATACAGTTATGTCAAGTCAATGGTCCTCTCATGGAACCCACACCCAAACCGTTAGTGTACCGGTACGTGGTACCCATTCCAAGTTAGTGTATCGGATCGTGACACCCATTCCAATGTTTATGCTGGTATATGGCAACCGATTCCAGTTAGTGTGTCGAAACGTAACACCCGATACATTCTACAAGCCACAATCACAATCACAATGTACATTCTCATTATCATACAATCAAGACATGATTCATGGCATACAATTATTCAATCATCCTCATTTACGATTAGTATGATCAATAATGCAACATTCGCATACATACATGAATCACAATGAAGTAATTACAAATACATATCACACCAACATGAAATCACAACCATCACCTACCTCCAACAAATTTTGAATTCCCTAAGAAACTTGATTCTTCCCTTTCCAGATTCTTTCCACTTGTTCTTGGTCTACAAACAATCAATATAACATGGGAATCAATAAACGATATCTAATTACCCTGATTAAAATCAACATTATCAATCCTAGATCAAACTGATTATTTCAATATCCAAATTAGGGTTTTTTCGACGATCCAAACAGTTCCAAAACCTTTCCCCAACAATAATCACCTAAGAAACTAAGTTCTACGAATCAAAAAATGGATTCGGGGAGTGAAAACATTACCTTTAGTCTCAAGAATGGTGGAAAACTATCAAGAAAACACCCGGGGTCGTTCCTTAGCTCTCAAAGTCGAAAAGTGCAGAATAAAATATTTTTGGGGTTTATTTCCGACTTAAGTTGCAATTGTCCCGCCACAACGGTCCTCACCCCGCTACAGCGGCCCTGCCCTGGCGGGAAAATCCTGCCTTAGCGGCTTGCACGGAAACAGTGAGCAAATTTAAGAATTCCAAACCCCCATTTCACAACACACCTTCATCCAATGACACTTTGAAACTACCCTCTGATGCTAAGATCGATTTCAGGTGTTCTATTCCCCCGAATTCAATTCTATAAAGTCGTACGAGTTCCTTAGCGTCTTAGCTATGTGCTCATATAATCAAACTCATAATTAGATCTCTCATTTATTACCAGATTTTTCTAGACCTCACTGACTCCGATTTCATCCAAATCTGGACTAGGTTGGGAAATTTAAAGTTACTACGAAAAAGGTTTCCAGCCCAACTTTTTTCCTCGTTGGCTTTTCTATAACGATGGAAATCGGTCGTTACAATAGATACCAATTTAGCCATCACTCGTCCCTGAGTGACAAACTAGGAAAAATAGGCTAAAGCAAGAGTGCAGTAGTACCTGAATCAACGAACAACTGGGGATACTTTTTTTGCATGTCTTTCTCGGTTTCCGAAGTAGCTTCCTCTACTGGAAGATATTTCTATTAAACTTTCACGGACTTAATCTCTTTGGCCCTCAGCTTTCGGACATCACGATAAAAAATTGCAATCGGTTCCTCCTCATACTAAAGGTCTTTGTCTAACATCACTGAGTCCCATTTTATGATGTAATCTCTGTCACCATGATATCTCTTCAACATGGACATATGAAATACCGGATAAACTCCCGATAAGTTAGGAGGTAAAGCCAATCTATAAGCCACTTGCCCTACACATTCAAGAACCTCAAAGGGACCAATGTATCACGGACTTAGCTTGCCCTTCTTGCCAAATATCATCACCCCTTTCATGGGTGATACCTTAAGAAAAACTTTCTCACCGGTCTGAAATGTCATTTCTCTTACCTTATGGTCTGCATACTTCTTCTGTCTACTCTGGGCTGCTAAAAGCTTAGCTTGAATACTCCTCACTTTATCTTGAACATCCTTCACTAAGTCAACCCCCAATGGTTTTACGTCTCCAGCCTCAAACCATCCTATGGGTGATTGATCTTAGGCATATTTATATGCCTAGAATGCTAATTATTCTCGCATTTACGCCAAGTTTGAATTCAAAATGTATTTGTTTGTAGTCTTATCGAGTCATTTGCTTATTTATAAACTAACCAACATGTTTAGTTGTGTAGGTATGCTTAATGGGAGAAATGAACACAAAAAGGGATAAAGGAAGAAATCTGAAGATTCGAGTCAAAAGAGAATAAGGAAGAAGTTGAGGAAAATGCACCAAGGCATTTACGTGTTCTCTCTACGTCGTGCGGTTGAATGCAAAATATGGGTTGCAAAAATCAAATCTAGGCAGAACACCTCGTGCTGCTCGCGCGTCACGCGGAAGGCAAAAGTATCGTGGACTCGAAATTTGGAAGTCATCGAGCGTTGCGCGCCTGAGTACCAGATTTGGCCATTTTGACTTTTAGTATAAATAGGGTTTTATTTTATTTTATTAAGGATCTTTTTCTGGGTTTTAAAGGACGACAATTTGGAAGAACGTTTTTCTTCAGTTTTAGTGTTATTTCTTAAACTTTTTTCCTTTCAATTGTTTGATGATTCATAGCCATTGTATGTTGATTGTTGGACTATGAGTAGCTAAATACCCTAGTTCTAGGGTTGTGGCTACATGATGATTGCAATTGATTGAGTTTTGTTGGGTTTATTATTGACCATCACATGAATCTTTCTTGTGTTCTTATTTTTCGTATTTCATGATTGATCACCATAGAAATAAATTTATTGTCCAAATTGAACTCGGGAGAGGAATAAAAGGATAGAACGTGGGGATAAGGAGCTTGTTGAACTCTAAATAGCTAGGGTTGATTCGTTTCTAGGATAGGGATATACCTAGAAACCTCGCTTGGATCACCATACATGAAGATAACTTAATGCTCAGTAGGTAATCAGTTTATCCCCGCTCAACGATATAGTTAGGGTGTTATCTATTGTAGGTGATTAGAGGTCGGGAGACCATGATCATACATCTAACCCTGTGATTCATTGACAGTTAATAATTACCCATATAAATGATATTGATTGCATGAATCTCCATAGAAGCTGCAGCCCTGGATCTTTTCCCAAATCATTGCTTGAAACCCGTGAAATTGAATCTTGTATTTGCATTTTGTTTTAAAAATTTAGAAATAGAAATAAACAACCCTTTAAATCTGCAAATACATTTGTGGTTAACTGAGAACTAGAGAAATTGATAGTTTCTAAGCGTTAGTCCATATGGGTATGATACCCGACTCTTGGAAAGAGCCACTTTATTACTTGTACGATCACGTGCACTTACGTGTGAGAATAGACCGCAAAACTTTTTTAGCGCCGCTACCGGGGACTTTAGAATTAGAAAGTATTTGAATTTTTCTGATTTCTAAAGTTGAAACGCAAGTGTTGACATCTTGATCTTAGCATTCCATTGTTGCAGGTTGTTTTGAAACTCTAAACTGGACGACGATCAAGGATTGTTATCGCCTCTCTCAGAACCTGAAAGATTCATACACTTACATAGATGGCAGAGACGATTAGCATATTCGGTTCCCTTAGTTATAGGTGAGCTAGAATTTCCGGGACCAAAAGAAGAAGAAGAAGAAGAAGAAGAAGAAGAAGAAGAAGAAGAAGAAGAAGAAGAACTTGAGTCAATGGCTACTGAGTTGAAAGTACGAGACGTGGCAATCCCACACCCCACCAATGTGACTTCGTACATACAGAAACCTGAACCTGGTGGGAGATTTGAGCTAAAGCAGAGTATGGTGCAAATTTTGCACACGAATGAGCAGTTTACTGGTCTTTCACATGAGGATCCCATAGTTCACATTTAGAACTTCCTCGAGATCAGTGATACTTACACTCCAACTGGGGTGAATAATGATTATGTGAGGCTCACCTTATTCCCTTTCTCTTTGCTTGGGGAAGCAAAAAGATGGTTGAACTCAGAGTCTGCAAATTCAATTACCACCTGGGACGATTTGGCACAGAAATTCCTCATCAGATTCTTTCCATCTGGAAAACAGCTAAGCTGAGGAGTGATATTATGAGTTTTAAGCAGAAGGGTGGTGAGAACTTGTACCAAGCTTGGGACAGGTTTAAATCGATGTTGATGAGCTGCCCTCATCATCATCAATCTAATGAGGTGTTAGTCCATACCTTTATTGAAGGGTTGGAGCCTAACACTAATATTTTGCTTGATTCAACTGCAGGTGGGCATGCCTTAAAGAAGACTTATGCAGAATTGTTCACCTTGCTGAACCGGATCTCTAAGGGTAATTCGGAGTGGAACGGAGGGGGAATGAAACCTGTAGTACAGAAAATTGCAGGTATGCTGGAAGTAGATGCGATGACAGCTCTAACTGCATAGATTTCTGCTATGCAGAATATGATGAGTACACATTTCAGCAACATGACATTGGGACAACAGCTTGCGCAGGTAAATGCAGTTTCAACAACCACCGTCTTGGTGTGAGATCTACGGAGGTAGCAATCACGTTGCAGAGGTATGTGGTGCAAATCCAAACTCTGTTAATTTTGTAGGGAATGCCCAGAGAGGAGGAGGCCAACAAAACTATGGAAATTCTTATAACCCGAGTTGGCGTAACCACCCAAACTTTTCTTGGGGTGGAAATAAGAACCAGGGATAAGGGCAAAACCATTATAGGCCACAAGGCAATTGATATACCGTGAGTTTACGGTATTTCTAATACATTTCACTTACAAGTTGTGTGTGTCTAGGGCCCTTTTTATATTGGTTTTTATGTGTTTTTATCATGTTTTGCAGGAAAGGTGTTCAGGCGCGGAAGTTTAGAGACAGCTGAAGGAATTGCAGAAAAAGGGCATCCAC